CGCTGGTGCACACGTGCTACCAGTCGCGAGAAGCGAAAGATTGGGCGTTGCACGCAGACTTTGGTCCCTACAGGGTCGTAGGCCTACTGAAAAGGCAATTAAGGGTCCTGTGTCGGAAACGTCGTCAGGTACGTCGGGTAATCGGTTTGACAAATCCGTATATCAAAACGCAGATGTCATCTACTTACCAGCAAGGTTTCGCTTTTTGCAGTAAACTAGGCTAACTGAACTAAAAAGTTATCTAAAATAAAACTGAACTGAATTAAATAAAACAAAATAATAGGTTAAAAACTTACCTAAGGTTAAACTGAAAATAGGGCGTACAAAAGTAGAAAATAACAGAAACAATTGTTTAAGTAAATTAATGTTTGGCAACAAAAAGCGCGCGAAAAACACAATGAAAAAATACAACCATTGGGAAAAAAGAACCGCACAAAAAACAAAGCTAAATTCAAATTGATAAAATAAAATAGTAAAGTAAAAACTTAAAATTAACGCAAACTGAACTAAAAACTAAACTACCTAAACTAACATACAGTAAACTAAACGAAGATTAATAAAACTGAGACTCACTGCAGGACGCTAAAGATATTCGCGTGGGGAGTGCAATGTGGGTGGGCTGTATCGTACCTTTGTGGTAAGAAAATCATACTCACTTCTACGAAATAAGTAGGCAATTATGCGAAGTAAACATAGTGATCCCGAAACCAGACTGCTGCCGTACAATTATCTGCACCTTATTCTGCACATGCCCGACAATTTTCATGAAGGTAACACTTCTCCTCAAATGCCATTCTATGGAACAACGGGCAGTTGGCACCAAGCTGCCCTAAGATCCGGAACCTTTTAAGAGAAAGCTCTCTCATATGAACAATTGAGGTATTAGTCCTGTGCGATTGGAACTAAGTGCGCTCCTCAATAGATTTTTGTTCCTTCCATGTAGAAGAAAACTCACAGTAAGTTACTGGAGTAATGCTTTTCCATAGAGTTCCTTAACTGTAGAGGTAAAATGTGAAGTGGTGGTATGGCACATATTTGAGGAAGTTCATTTATTTGCCAACTAGATTTGGGCTGCAGGAAGCTATTTAGGTTAAAGATTTATCGCGGAGCCGCCCAATGCCCAAAGTCCCCTAGCCCAAAAGTGTTAGGGCCCAGCTTAACTCAAAGTGTACGCCGCCGTAACAAGGCGTTCCCACGTGAGACCACCGGTTAACCCACGCAGAGTGCATTTGACGACGCGAACAGCGCGGCGCGCAGGACACAAACGCAAGCCAGACAAAGGGTACGCCCACACACACAAAGTGCA